TGCAGAAAGGCAGATCTCTTGTTTTCTTATTGTAGTGGTACTCAAATAAATAATGAATTTATGATAATATCAAATGTATACAAAATATTTTGGTTTAAAATGTCATGAATAATTGTAATCTCAGAATTCTGTTAGAACATTAGAGCTTCAAGTCTTTCCAAGATATTAGCTTACTCTATGTTAAGAATTAAGGTTTTTTAACAAATCTAAAAAATTCGCTGTTTAGTTGTATTCCATTAATGATATTATGCAAATCTTTAGCTTTTATCTTTCATTAATATTTATTTAATGTTTATTGAGTTCCTCCTTATTCAATTATTTAGATTAAATGTTGAAGCCTATTATCTTTAGAATTTTGCTTCTCCATCAAGCTCTAATGACGAAGGTAAATATAAAGTCATTATTTAGGGTGGTTAATCAAAAATCCTTATAATGGAGCTTCTGTCCATACATATGATTGTGGAGGAAACACAATTCTTGGAGGATATTAGATATTTGGATGCTACTTATCTACGAAAACATCATTAATGAAATATTTCCGCCTGCCACCTCATTACAAAGTTCGTGTTGATATCACCTTCTGGAAGTTTAATATTAAAATATCTTAAGAATTGATGATTGGCAAGCAAACGTACAAAAATTTTACATAATTATTGATTAATGGACTCAGACTTGGCAATTTGCAAATAATGCAGGATCAGATTAATGCGGGGGCAGTGGTACAGACTTTAGCGCTCTGTAATATAATGATTTTTCTTTACATACTTTGAATTCAATAATTGTTGAGTTTTACTCAGACTGTGATAGCACTGTATTTTTTATTTTTAACACCTTAAGAACTTTTGGGGGTTAACTAATTTCTAAATAACTTTAAATGAATGCTACTTAGGATGTCTATTTTGTTTTGATTCAACAGTTGATTGCATCATGTGGAAATTGTGGCAATCATTCTTTTAACTATAATATCTTGATGATGGTTTAGAGGGATGGAATAAAAATAAATTTCCATCATTTTCTGACACTATAAATGATAGTAAATTTTGTAACCTATTATAGTTTAATTGAAGATGCTTATCTTGCATTAAACGGATTCTGCAATAACTTATCTCACCCTTCCAGATCACTCTTCTTTGATTATTCAATTTAGAGTTGAGTATTATACAGCCTTGCCAATAATTGTAAGAGTTTTCATAGATGATGTATACCAATATGGGCTCATGAATTATAAAAAAGAGGTTGATTTTAGGACAACGACAATTTAGAATTCAAAAAATGCAATTAAATTAGAAATATACTGTGAGGATGGCACAGTAGGTATCCGTGAGGTATAAATAATTCTTCGTGGACCAATAAATTTAATCTCATGTCTCGATGACAATTTAGTCCCTTTTGATGGTTGCTTTTCTAAAATAAGTATCTTGTTTAGAAGGTTGTGTATTTTGTGTCAAAGGAGAATGTTTGATGTGTGATACTAGATGGGATTATGATTCTGTAAACTAAACTTGTGAATCTTTATGTGGAGATAAATATATCACAACGAATGAATAATGTGATGATGGAAATGACATCCCATTTGATGGTTGTCATTAATGCAACTTTTCATGTCCTTTAAACTGTTAAAATTGTATCTTTGGTAAATGTCAGACTTGCAATTCTGGTTATTATTATTCTAATGGAATCTGTAACAGTAATTATGATAATTTGCTGACTTTATCGATATCTCAAGTTGACTAAAATTAATAACCAAATTATTTAGTCGAAATTGATGTTGCAGTATGTGGAGATGGGAAAGTCTAATAGGATGAAGAATGTGATGATGGTAATAACTTTTCTAATGATGGATGCTATAATTGTTATTTTTAATGCATTTCAAGTTGTTAGAAATGCATTTTTAATAAATGCTTATAATGTAGTCCAACATATGAATTAATAAACGGAAAATGCTATGAAAAGCAAACATAATTCAGATCAGTAAGTTGTAACAGATTAGATTCACTAGCTAGTGATAATTTAATATAAGAATTAAGCTAATTTACATGTTGTGACACTGCTGATACCTAATACTATAATATTTGTGACCTTGAAAGATCAAGAATCAAATATAATGATCAAATAATTGATCTTAGATGCCCCTTTAATTGTGAAATCTGTTAACTAGGGTAATGTAAACAATGTTTGGCTAACTATTTCCTATTAAAAAACTAATGCATCTCTTAAATTACCAAAGGAGTACTAGTAGAAGATGGAATTCATATAGGCCAAACCGAAATCGGATGCTACAAATGCAAAGATAGTTGTCAGGTTTAATGTCTTTAATGTATTGATTCCTATTGCTTGCTTTGTATTGATGGCTGGTCACTTGTGAATGGTATATGCAAATACATTTGTGGAGATAATTAAATAGCTATTTGGTCTGTAGAATAATGCGATACAAATTTAGATTATTGTATGGACTGTTAGTTCGTCTGTTCTGAAAACTGTTCATATTGTATTAATTTTTAAGATTGTTTGGTTTGTACATTACCTTACATTTTGGTTAATTAAGAATGTTAATTACCTTGTATAACAGGATGTAAGTAATGTAGTAATGGCATTTGTTATGATAACTGTCCAAATGGAGAGTTAAATATTGATGGCATTTGCTATTCAATTTGTGGCGATGGGATTGTATAATAAAAAGAGTAATGTGATGATGGGAATGACATATAATTTGACGGTTGTTTCAAATGCCAATATTCATGTTCTCGATATTGTGAAAATTGTTTTGAAGGAGTTTGTTATTAGTGTTAGCAATTCTTTAAACTGATACAAAATGAGTGTTATGATGACTGTGGCAGTGGAATAAAATCTTACGATGAATAATGTGACGATGGCAATCTTATTAATGTGGATGGGTGTTCTTCTAATTGTCAGATTGAAATTGATTATAAGTGTTAGGAGTAAGCTTATAGTTATTCTGATTGTCAATATGCTGAATCTCCTTATATGTTTGTCAAATTCTTAAACCAAACATACGATAAATATTTTTTTGAGATATCATTCTCATAAGCAATCTTTTTTAAGGATAATTATGATTTGGAATCTCTTTTTGAGTTTAGCATTGATGAAATAAGCGATGAGGATTATTAAATAAAGTTAGAGTCATACTTTGAACCTGTAATTAATAAAATTCTAAACTTTTAATTTCAGGTATAAATTGAACTATTTGTATCTACTAATAGTAGTAGTCTCACTTTTTTTAATTTATTTCTGATAAATGAAGCATATAATTCAGATGAAATGGAAATACTCAATCCATCAGAGAAAGTATCACTTAAAAAATATTCTAAATTGAGTCAATCTGACATAGAAAAGACTAAATAGCTCACTTAATATTAAGAAGCTATGATTATGGCTTAAGGGATAGGTAGTGTAATTGTACTAATTTCTGGAAATTTTTAAATTTTTGTCGAAATTCTAGACAATTTACAGTATCAATCATATTTAAAGTACATTAACGTTATTTATCCCGAAAATCTCTACCTTTTTTTTGAAGCCACTAATTTAATAAGTATTGTTCCAATTTTAGATTATTTATAATTTAATGGATTCTATTAAAGATTTCTATTTTACGAATTTATTGAGTCTTATGCTAAATTATAGTTTTACAATTTAAATGCTCATTTAATTACTAATCTGCAATTCTTTTTCATCTAAGTAATATCTACCTTTATATTTGTTATGATTCTGAGATTAATTTCAAAACTCACCTTTAGAATAGTCTACAGAATATAATCCTAACATTATCTAATTTTTAGGCTTAGAAGTTTATAATCAAAATTGCTTATCTAAATATTCAATTGGATTTTTAATTTTTTTCATTACATTTTGACTTTTCTGGCAGAATTTTACTAAAATGGTGTATTAGATGTTTTGCTTGCAAACGCTTGGGATTTGCTATTTAAAATATTTTTAAGTTTAACATCCTCCTCAAAATAAGATATTATTTCTCGAATATAGAACATCATTTCTTATTTGGTCTTGGCAGCCTCAGGAGGCTTTATCACATCCTCATTAAAGCCTGTTTTTTCAAGAAAGAATTAGATGCTAATTAATAGATATCGGGCAGTTTATTTACTTAAATAATTTTTGTTTTGTTATTTCTTGATATGTTTTCAAAATCATTAATTGATCTAAATATTGATGTTGACAACTACAAATATCATTTACTTAATTGTATTAATTTTCGCAAAACTTAACTTGTAGGCATTAGATAAATTGTAAATGATTATAATGGAAATTTCAATTATTACATTTACTTTTTCTACGATATTTTATTTGAAAGATTACAGTGATTTAATAAGTGAGTAAGATAAGATAGTGTTGGGTTTTGCTTAAATATATTTGTTGATTTCAGGCTTATTAGGAATTTTCATTAAATAAGTCATTATGATGTATAAATAAATTAAAAAACGATGCTTTAAGATTAAATAGAGGAAAAAGATCTCCAAATAAGTTACACACCTGATATTTGAGGTTGTTTCATGACTCTAAATACTTTTTATATATAAATTTATATTAGATAAATTTACATAAAAATAAATTTAGTTTTAAAAAATCATTTTCATTTGTAATAGATAATCATTTTCAATTTTATTTCATCTAATTTTTCAAAAAACCAAAATTAATTGCTCATTATGTATGCATTTTAATTAACTTAATATGGTTTAAATTGATAGTTTTCATTTTCTCATGGGAGTAACAAATTGATCTGTCAATATTAATACTCAATTAAGTTCATAAATAAAAGATGATTTATTGAGAATTATGCTTTGATTTTCTGAATTACTAATCAAAATAACCTTGGATAATAAACTAAATTTAAAATCAACAATATACCAATTTCAGTCACAGTTATTTTTCTTATTTTGTTGCTTACAAAGATTAGAATTAAAATAAATGGAATTTCTTTCTATCATTCCCTATTTAATAGAAAAATTAGAGAGCAAAGTATTTACAATTTTAAATATAATAGTATCAAATATTTAATGTTATCAGTCAAAATACTTATACATTTTTATAGATTTTGAAAAATTGTCCCATGATACTAAGTAGGATCCATTTTCATTTAGAGCAACCTGAGCGGAAGAATCATGAAATTGTAATTAAAACTCTGTAACAAAATCAGGATTATCTTATATTTTCATAAAATTTATTGATATTCCATCTTTATTTATGAGTATTTATTTATCTTTAATATACCTTTGATTGAATTTCCTTGAACCCCAGTTCCCATAACTTTAAATTTTGAGTTCTCTTTATCTAATAAACTCTTGGCCCTAATTCACAAATTTGTAATACCCTAAGGTTTTGAATGCTTCTTAAATTATAAATGAATCAATTCCAATAAAGCTTATTCCAGGTCCTAATTTACCTAAATGGAAATTGTAAAGTTTAATCCAATCAGTTTCTCTCTTGACCAATGCAACTATACATTTATTGTAATCTGAGATTATTAATTTATCCCCTATTTCATTGAGACTTACAGCACATATCCTGATGTTATTGGTATAAGAGAATACAGATTACAATTAGCTTTATTTTATGAAAAACGATACTTTCCAATCATCACATGAAATTATAGAATCTGAATTTTTGTTTGATTGTAAGTTATAAATTGGTGATCTGTGATCTCTTAATTTTTAAATGTATTTTCCATTATTCATACCAACACTGCTTGATACTTATATTTATCCATTAAACATTGCAAATAAAAATAAATTACATTACTTCAAAGATTCTATGAAAGTGACTCTGGATTTAGTAATTTAAAATAGAGAGATAAATATTAATTCTTCTTTAATAAACAAGTAAGCCTTGAGAATTAATCCAAAACTAGCCAGAATCTTAGTTGAAGTATTATCAAATGCTAAGAAATTACATTATTAGCTCTAAATTAATTGTGCATATTCTAAAACGTCATAAGTAAACTATTATTTCTATTGTAAACCTAAATTGAATTCTTCTTACAGACATGATATCTTATTTTGCATATTTATCGATGTATTTTTTATTGAAATCAATATTTAATTGACATTATAATTATAACAATATGATAATACTTATTATTTGCAACATCGATTTGATAATCTATTTACATATTCTTCTAATGATAAAATATATTGAAATTAGAGAATTTATTCATTAAATTGCATGTCTAAATAGAATAACCAAAAATACCTTAACAATTATATGTGTACTAAACTTCTGTATACCCTGATTAACATATGCAAGCTTAGTTAATGTCTAGAACTCTATGAGTAAGATCCTCGTTCCCACAACTTTTGCACTTAGATGGATCATGAAGATCGCAATTCACACAATTTGAAGGGCATTCTAATTTCAGCTCAACAAATTACAAAAGCACTCCTACCCTCCAATACCCACAAAATTTTTTTGCATACATATACGTTGACTCCTTTTTCATCAATGCTCAAATTTCTTGTAGCAAGAAAACTTGAACAAAATTCTTATGAAGAATCGCAAATTTGACAACTATGTTTGCCTAATTATTCAAAAAGACAATTTACATGATAATATAAGTTCAACGCTAACAAACAAAAGTACTAGCATTTAATTTGAAAATTAATAATTAATCTTAAAAGAAGTTAATTTGGTTATATCATGCTTGATTAATTTTAAAATAGATCCTGATGATTTCACATATTGATGCTCGAATAATGTAATTATATATATATATATATTTAAAATGTCCAATCAGGCAATAATTGAATCTTAAGATGGAAATTATGAAGGCAATATTTAGCTAAATCGTATGTTCTTGTTTGATGATGTTGACATCTTTTTCAAGTGTAAGTTACTCCTTAATTGCATCATTCTTAATTTGTTCTTTATCCTCTTAAACTTATTGCTTTTCTCTATAATTGCTTGATTCATCCTATTGCGTCTTAATTTGAGATACTTGAGTATATAATTGAAAGGGAAAAACATGAATTTCTATAGCTTATCTATGATATCCTTTTGCCATGAATGGATATTTTTATTTACAACGTCAATTATCTACTAAACATTATGATGACAATAAAAATAATCATAATTTTTTAGAACTTCAAAGTTATCTATAGTTTTTTGATTTAACTTCCAGAACAGAGGTTCAATTTGACTTAAGGCTTACCTGACTATAAGCTCATCCTAATCTTGCTTTATTAATTTATTATAGAGAAGTATTATATTTTCATTTTGAGAATTCTGAAATTCTATTGCCAATTATTTGTCTTCTACTTCTTCATCTTAAATATGTCTCACAGTAAAAGTAGTCGTAGTACTCTTTTTAATTTATTTGTTTTATGGATGAAGAGTCATTTTCCTAATTATTCTTCCTTAATTTAATTATTATCTCAATTCTCCTTTAAGATCAATGTCCGTTTCCCTAATTAAGTTTTTCTGAATTCTTATGCTGCTTAGTAAATCCGCACACGCCGCAGATTAAGGAGCAAGGCTAGCCTATTACATCTGGGGAGTTAATTTAATATTATCATTTGAAGGTGGAGGTTCAACAGAATTAGATTCGAATAGATCAGATTCATGGTTAAGATAAATTTTGAGTTATTAATTGATAATGAGTTAGTTGTCACTAGAAAACACCTTAGCAAACTCTGCCACTAATTCTTTTTCTGATAAGGCCAAAAATATATTTTTCTATCTTCTTCTTGAAAATGGTGCTCTCTATTAATTGGTTGAATGTTAATAACGTTTTATTACTACTTCTCTGTTAGACTTTAATTAAATATAAGGACAATGAGTTAATGAGTGTTCAAATTGTTAACAAGCAGGACAATAGACACTTTTTGTTAAAACTATTGAATCTAAATTTAGAATTATTGAGTCTTTCAATTAACAATATTTTTGAAAATCGTCTGGAAAGTCTTTCAGTGTTTATAAGAATTCTTATTTGGATAAAACTAGGAGACTAACATATCCAACAGCTTTGAAAAGTTCCATTTCAGGATCTTCGATTATAAATTCTTTAACACAAAGAAATTCTCCTACAGTTATGATGGTATTCATTTTAGATCTCTATTTTGAATCTTTATGTTAATACAACAGATGTCCTTATTCAATAAAACAAAGATGATGTTAACCATTAAAATCAATTTAAAATGTATTTTCTGGTGGAATAACTTTATGTTTAAAATATGTATTTACTTTTCCTTTTGATGCTCTTGAACAGAGCATTTCTAAATTCATCACTAAAAAACTATTGCAATAAAATAGATTTCTCAATAAAGACTTTATGAGCTTATTTATCTAATTCTTCTTTTAGTTCATCAGACAATTGATCCAATAATGCTTATTCTATTTCTAAATCCACCTCATCATCTTCTTTCCACCTATAAGGTTAAGTACTCCTTTATTCTATGAATAAAATGGCTATTAATACATAATGTTGCAAGGCAAAAGGGATAATTTCGTTTTTGTCGGATATAGCTGTATTAAGATAACAGCGTCTGCATCTTCTAATTTCTTTCAACTTAATTTTGAGTTGATGTCTATTCATAATGCCTCCAATAACACAGTTCACACTATACGAAAACCAGTAAACATGCTCCAAGATATGATATATAGATTGTGATGAATTTTCTCAGTTGGGTTCTTAGGTACATTAATCTCCATAGCCAAATAGTCAACATTGTTACAATTGCAAAATATAAGGCTTCCAAATATTATAATTGCCAAGATTTATTAGTTAAATCCTTAAAATCAATCCAGGAATCCTCTATTTGCAAACTTGAGATCCAAAACCAAACACAACTGAACAGATGCAAAATATAAAACAGTGTTGCTACAAACTTCAGTAAACCTAATATTCCTCTTTAAGGTCTAGTAAAATATGAGAGTTATTCACTTTTTGAAAGTATCTCATAAACATAAGAATATTATGTTAATGTAACTAATGTGAATAGGTTATAGTACTAATCTTATGGTTCAATAGATAAAAATACTATCATTATTATTATTGATAAAAAATCAATAAGCATTGACTTTTTTGCCTAATATACAATAAGTCTCCATCTATCTCGTATAGCTTATCCATTTTAATATTATTAAGTATTTATCCTAATCAAGAAATCCATTATAAGAATTATTATTATGATTATAGTCAGTGGAATATTGCTCTCAAACATTATTTGAGTTTTGAATGCTACTTCCAAAGGTATTAAAACCACTAATATAATCCGAAATAGCGACTGCAAACAAATCCCAATACATTTTGAATACTGATTCTGATGATATTAAAGGTATTTTATCAATAAAATTTTATAATATTTTGATTGCCTGCTTTTTCATATTTTAGTAGTATTGCTTCATTGTTTCCATTCTTGTCTCTTCGATGGACGATTGCATCTTCAATAACTTCTTCATTGCTTTTAAAGTAAACCCTGCTCTTTGAATCGACTTTGTATATTGCAACACTACATTACTATAATAAAACTCCATATTTACATGTCTGCAGCTTTATCTCCAATCAAATTCAAATGAGTAAAATTCAATGTCTCAATTATTCTTCTCTTTATTTACAGTTTCTCCAAAAATCGCTTTATCAAAAAGAAAGCCATCATGCTTGAACCAGTTGAATGCTATTTATTTGTAGGAGTATTTATCAATGTTCTATTCGTCTCTGGAGTATTCTACTGGATGCTTTTTAAAGTAATGTTTTCCATCTTCTGACCATTTAAATCATTAAACGCTTCAATACTCTTGATACTCTAAGTTTAGCTATATAAATTTGGACAGTTAATCGATGTTTCTCTCTTTGTTGTGCGCAAGCAAAACCCTAAATATTATTACTCAAAATCTTCATGTTATTCAGCTTAAAGCTCTTAATCTAGATCCAAATTGAATCCGGGAGATTCGAAATGCATTATTATTATTTATTTTTAATAAGGCTAACTCAAACCTAATTATAATTTTATTCACAGAATTAATATAAAATACAACACAAAATTCAATAATTATTGATTCTAGTTTGCGATAATTTATTTTATATATATATTTGAATCATTCTTTCTGTAAATTGCGTAATCTTATATCTAATACAAACTCATAATATTTTATATAAAATTATCGAAAATTATTATTATAATCATTACCATTTATTTTATTTGGAATAATATAATTAGATACACACTACTTTAATAACAAAAAATTAAATAAAGTTTCATTTATACGTGTTGATACCAACTAAATTTTATTAAAGTTATTTTTCAGCTCAAATTGATATAATCTAAATATTTTGAATAATTTAATTAGATTAGAATATTTAAATTTGTCTAATGTTAAATATTCTTTATTATGCCCAATCCTACTTTTATCATTTACTTTTATTTACTTCTTAGAAATAATCAATTGTCATAGTTTGTATTCTAATTTTAGTGGTCAAAGTTTGACAGGATGTTTCAGATGAACAGTATTGCATTTAAGATTCAATTAAAGAAACTAAAAGAAAATATGACAATACAATAAATTGTAATTCTTCAATTTTTTAAAGTAAATGTTGTATTATTTATAATAAATGGTTTTAATACATCAAATAGATTGTAAATTAAAGGATAATCTAAAGATTTTGATAAAAGAAAAATGAAAATTCATTCAATCTTACTCTATCTTAAGAACAGAATGTTGATTAAATGATAACCTTTATTTTGTTATTCAGGTCTTGTTGAAGCATGATTATTCTTCTTTAGATTCATTCTTAATTAATAATCCTGAATTTGTATTATATCTGAATATTTAACTTTATTTATTATTGCTCTGTTTATATAGATATTCTCTTCAATACATATAAAATATTTGTGAAGTAAAATTAAGATAATTAAAATTATCAATTCATTTAGTATAATTTTTTATAGAAAAATTAATCAAATGTTACAAACACTTCAAACTGAATTAAATAATATGCAGACCAAAAGTAAATAATAAGATCAGAGAGTAGAGAATTTGTATATTAGTTTTTAAGAAATCTATTAAATCAAAAATAATTTAAATAACCCATGTTCAACGAAGCATAATATGCTATATTAGGTAAGACCAGAAGTTTTCAATTAAATATTAATATTTTTAGATATTAAACAAATTTTACAATTTAGATTGGTAAGCAGAAGAGCCAAAGAAACTGTAAAATTACTGCTTCCGAAATAAATAAATAATTTATAGTAATTAATAGATGAATAATAAAATGACATACAAATTAAGATATAAAGTGCATAGCAGGCAGGCAACGATCAAGATTAGCGATAAGGTTTGCAAGCAGCTTTGGATGGGATATCCTTACTTTCTAGAGCACATTTTGTTGAGTTAAGATGCTAAGCTAAACCTCATGAATTAATTGAGAAGATCATAAATCTAGTTTGCTTGGCTTTAGATCCAGCATTCAAAGTAGCAAAAGATAATTGGAAGGAATGCATAAAATATTTAGGTCAATAAAGTTTTATAGAACTAATTTTAAATTTCAATATTAGTAGCTTAAATAATAAACAGTTATAACAACTAGAATAGGTTAATAATATTACAGAACAATAAGTAGCTTCAAAGTCATTAGTTGCTAGTTCTTTACTAATTTTTTTGAAAGCTGTTGTTGAATTAAGGTAATCTAAGCTTTACATGACATAAAATGAGATAAAAGAATTAGAGAGCAAAATAAAAAAAGAGCAAAAATTAATTGACAAGATAGAAAAGATACATAATTAATGAGAATTAGTTGATTAAAAATATGACAAAATTATTTTACTTGGCATTCTTATTTTTGTTATAAAAAAATTATTTCTAACTCCTTCTAATTTAGTCATTCCCTAAATGTAAATACATTTTAACCAAATAGTTTTAATATTTTCTTATAATAAAACGAATGATGTATAAATATTTAAATTATACGAATAGTAATAACTGAATAATACAATTTAATAAGTATAAATAGTATTAACTCAATAAAAAAACAAATTATGTTTAGTTATTCAAAATAAAATTATCGTGTAAACTGAATAAGACACATTTATTCAAAAAATATGAATAGTCTTAATACAATAATAAAACTATTTTCAAATTATATTTATATAAATGATAAGTTAAATTGAATTGTAAAACTAAGTTTGTATATTTATTCAAATTATTTATCTTAGGATAAATATTATTAATAATTCAAATCTATAACTAAGTTCTATATATATTCAAATTATTTATTTTAGGATATTCAATGAGCCTGATAATTTTTTTTAATATTATATTTTTCATTTTCATTTTCATTTGACTTATGATTTCATTATATTTATTTATATTTTAAAGTCATTATTATTAATTCAATTATTATAATTTTAATTGAAAAATTAATCAAATGTTACAAACACTTTAAACTGTTTTAAATAATATGCAGACCAAAAGTAAATAATCAGATCAGAGAATAGAGAATTTGTATGTTAGTTTTTAAGAAATCTATTAAATCAAAAATAATTTAAATAATCCATGTTCAACTAAGCATAATATGCTATATTAGGTAAGACCAGAAGTTTTCAATTAAATATTAATATTTTTAGATATTAAACAAATTTTACAATTTAGATTGGTAAGCAGAAGAGCCAAAGAAACTGTAAAATTACTGCTTCCGAAATAAATACATAATTTATAGTAGTTAATAGATGAATAATAAAATGACATATAAATTAAGATATAAAGTGCATAGCAGGCAGGCAACGATCAAGATTAGCGATAAAGTTTGTAAGCAGCTTTGGATGGAATAGCAAGAATTAATAAAGCTCATATTGTTGAGCTGAAAAGCTTTGCCAGACCACCTGAATTAGTTGAAAAGATTATTAATTTAACTTGCTTTGCTTTAGATCCGACTTTTAAAATGTAAAAAGATAATTGGAAGGAATGCATAAAGTACCTAAATTAATACAACGTTATAGAACTCCTTAAAACTCATGATATTAGTAGCATAAGCGAAAAACAGATATAATAGCTTGAATAGGTTAAGAGTATTTCAGAATAATAAGCAGCTGCAATTTCTCTAGTCGCAAGTTCTATCCTCATTTATTTGAAAGCTGTGTTAGAATTAAGATAGTCTTAAGTTTACGTGAATTAACATGCAATAAAAGAATTAGAAAGCAAAGTAAAGAAAGAAAAACAATTGATTGATGAACTAGGAAAGATCATTAATAATTGAGAATCAGTTTATTATACCAAAATTATAAACAATAAAACTAGAAGAAATAGAATTTCTAATTTTATCTTTCTTTAGTAAATTGACTTTTAAAGTATGATCCATAATGCACTTTCAATTAAAATTCCTCTTCTTATGACACTAATTATTTTCTGGGTATTATTAGTGTTATTTCATTTCATCATAAATGTTACTTAAATTTCAATTTTTTATTCTAAAATGAGAAAAGAATACAATAGCAGGTGACAAAGTTGTATGAAATCTTAGCAAATAAATGAAATATAAATTTAGAAATGTCAAATAGAGTAACCAAATAGATATGTATGTTCGGAGAATAATAAGTGAAAATGCAGTTTAGATGACTTCAGAATCTTAAAATTAGATGGAAGTAGATATGACTGAAGGGAAGTTTAATGAATTATTTTATATTTATTGTTAGAAAAAGATAATTTTAACAAAACAAAATGTAAGATTATTAATCATAGAGGAGGTGGATAGATAATTTAAGAGACTGAATAATTTGAGTAGAGCTTAGATTCAAAAATTAATATAGGAACTTAGGTATTATAAAAAGAGAAATAGAAATTATGAAATAAAAATAAAAAAAAATAAAAATTTGATGTCAATAATGGTAGATTAATTTTACAATTTATATGATAATCAATAAAATTACGCTTTGAAAAAGCATCCTTATTAATTATTATAATATTATTAGGAATTTTCGACATATTTACAATCTACAAAAAGCTTTATGATTATTAGAACATATTTAATATAATTAATTATTTATAGAATCACTATTATTAACAGAAATGTAATAGGAAACACAAAACAAGAAAATCACCTTTAAATTTCTTAATGTATTGAGAATTTATATATTAGTAATTGAAACTTATGATCAAGCCATCTTAATAAATAGTGTAGATCACTCATGCATTCGTAACAATATTAAGTGGAACAATAGCATCAATTCAAGGAAATTAAATAAAGTCTGAATGGTAGTCAATAAAACATTGTTTACGAAATACAAATGAGATTCTGGAAATTATTAATGATACACAAACATTTTAAAAAAGGGTACGTTTCGAAAATCTAGAGAAATCAATGTAGATTTTATAATCAATTCAATAATAAAGCGAAGATGAGTAAAGAGATGAGACATTTGACATAATACAAGAAGCTTTGAACTAGTTATTAACTATTGCAAAGCCTTTGTTTAAAAATCTACTATTGTGTAAAAGAAGCAATTCAAGAAATAGATCATTAAGTTAATAAGGTTTTGAGAAAGCTAATTAACTTCAATAATCCTAGAAGTCATTCAGCAATAAGACCAATATCTCTTAATCTTAATTAAATCAAAGTAATAGCAAAATCAATAGACCCAAAAGTCAATAATCAAATCTTAGTTGTAGTCGTTCTTCATCAAAATCTAAAGACTATTAATAACGAGTGATAGAAGCTCAAATTAAAAAAGTAAATTTTACATTAAAGGTAGCAATCAAGATTGGACAGGATATTAAAATTGCAGACCAATAAGCCGTCAGCAACTTCGTAGATAAAAAAAATGATTGAGGGTTAATAATCATTAAATAGATCATATAGATCAAATAGCAAGGAATCGTTAATGAAATAGGAAATTGAGAAAAACAAATCAATAATTAAGAAATTGAAATAATAAGAAAATTCAATCAA